CCATGTCTTGGTCCCAATGGCACCAGCGAGAGTGTGCGTGAGGCTGGGGATATCGGGATCCAAATCTATATGAAATACCGGTATCTGAGCCCTACTGGGCATTTCAGTGCATGGCATACGTGAGCTATGTCACTACCAAGTGCCAAAGCTTTTTTTTTTTAACCAAATGCCAAAGCTTTTTTTACATGTGTGGATGAAAAGGGACCACATGCTAACCTGACTAACTCAGGAAAGGCCTGCATGGCGGCCTTGCAAACTCAAGAGACCTAAAGTAACCACAGAGGATGGTCTGAAATTAAAACCTTTAATTAACAAGCAGTGTCTAGTGCAGTGATGGCGAACTCATTTTTTTGGTTGATTTTTCTTTGTTAAATGGCATTTAAATATATAAAATAAATATCAAAAATATAAGTCTTTGTTTTACTATGGTTGCAAATATCAAAACATTTCTATATGTGACAAGGCACCAGAGTTAAGTTAGGGTTTTTCAAAATGCTGACACGCCGAGCTCAAAAGGTTCGCCATCACTGTAGTGGGTAGACATGTCCTAGGCCAGTATCTTCCCTGACAAAGGTCTATTTCGATCTTTACTGAGCCTACTGTTGTTTTGCATCTAAGATAACATACCTGTGGAATGTCAGGGCAGCTTGTAACTTCCCTTTTTCCGGACCCCTCCAGAGCACAGCCCTGGCGGAGCCCACAGATTCCCTCCTTGTTCTTGTTATTGTGTTAATTGTTGACTGTTAACTATCTGATGCCCACCTGTGTACAAGAAGCATGTGTCTATCATTTTACTTTTTATCCAATCCCAGAGGTTTCCCTGATTTGCTTTCTCCCGCCTCCCTAATCTATCACCAATGGATTTCATGTAACCCACTTACGTCTTCTCCTTTGATGGTAACGCATAAAACAAGATGAAAAACTGCCATTCTCCGGAGCACTATCTCATCCTGACAGTTGTCAACAGTTTGGCTCAAATAAACTGATAAAAATTCTTTACAGGTTTGAATGTTTGTTGTTGTTGTTTTTTGTTTTTTTTACATTAACACATTAACACAAAACAATTCTAACAGGTAGACCCTATTAGCACCATTTTATTTCAGCACAGAGAGGTTAAGGTACTTGCTCAAGATCACACAGTTCAGAAAAAGTAGAGCCAAAATTTGAACCCAGGTCATGTGGCTCCAGAGTTTATGACTGACCCTCCACTCTTTACTGAAGCTTGTTAGCTTTTTTTTAAAATTAATATATTTTTAATGATTTAAGAGAGAAAGGGAGTGGGAGAGATAGAAACATCAATGATGAAAGAGAATCATGGATGGGCTGCCTCCTGCACACCCCTACTGGGGATTGAGCCCACAACCTGGGCATGTGCCCTTGACCAGAATCAAACCTGGGACTCTTCAGTCCACACTGAGCCAAACCAGCCAGGGCAAAAATATGCTTTTTATTGATTTTTTTTTAATGTATGTTTTTAAAAAATATTTTTATTGATTTCAGAGAGGAAGGAAAAGGAAGAGAGAGATAGAAACATCAATGATGAGAGAGAATCATTGATTGGCCACCTCCTGCATGCCCCCCACTGGGGATCAAGCCCGCAACCCGGGCATGTGCCCTTGACTAGAATCAAACCCAGGACCCTTCAGGCCGTAGGCCGATGCTCTATCCACTGATCCAAACCGGCTAGGGCTATTGGTTTTTTAGAGGGAGAGGGAGAGAGAGAGAGAAACATCAGTCAGCTGCCTCCTGCATGCCCTCTACTGGGGATCAAGGCGGAAACTTGGGCACGTGCCTCAACCTGGAATCCACTGATGACCTCTCAGTGCACGGGACAACATTTGACCAACTGAGCCACACGGGCCAGGGCTGCAGAGGACTAGAGCCACAGCCAAGGATTCAAATCCCGGCCATGCTGCTTCCAAGCTGGTGACCTTGGGCCTGTTGCTTGACCTCTTTGAACCTGCCTGTCCCCCTTGGTACCCACCTTGCAGGATTTTTGTGGGGATGAGCAGCGTGCTTGGTACACTCTGGGCTCTCAATGAATGGGGCTGCTATAATTATTCTACACAGGGTCGGGGGCGGGGCGCAGGGCCCTCAGCCAGGCCTATATTTAGCCTGGAAAGGGTGGGGGGTCCTAGGAGACAGAGGGTTGCCGCCAGTCCCAGGCCTGGGGGCGGAGCCGATGAAAGTGGGCAGCCTGCGTCCCCTCCTCCCGGCCCTCCTCTTCCATAGGGTCACCTTGGCTGGAAAGCTCCCTCAGCCTGGGCGTGTCCAGTCCCCAGCTGGCACTCTGTCCTCTGCGCGACCCTCATTCCCCAACCGCAGTCTGGGGAGGGGGCTGCTGGGGCCTGGGGGTTGGGGGTGGCAAGTATTCGGCCCCATTGACCACGTGGAGAGCTGACTCCTTTTCCAGCCAGGGCTGCCGGCGGCCCAGCTCACTCCAGCCCGGCCCAGGATGGGGGGCTTCACTGGGGTCCCCACACCAAGGTGAGCCTGACCCTGCAGGTGGGAGTTGAGGAAGGGTGGGGGCTGGTCCGGCTCCTCCCCCAAACCTCGGGCTGATGAGTGTGGAGGCTGCAAATAGCCCAGTGGAATCCGTGAGTCACCTAGGCTGGAAATACCACGCCCCCTCTCCCTCCCCTCCTCCTGCTAGCAGCTCCAGCTGCAGGGGGCCAGCGCCTGGCAGTGATTTCAGTATCACCTGGTAGGTGTGGGGTGCGTATGGGGGCAGGGGGTCTCTCCAGAGAGCACCCAGACTCCTCAACTAGCCAACACCCCAGCCAGGTTTCAGCTCTGTGACCCTAGGCCAATCACTCAGCCTCTCTGATCCTCAATGGCCATCTGGCACGAGATAGGCTTCCAGAAGGCAGGGACCCGGTGCAGCTGACCGGCCTTTGGTGTTCCTGCACCTGGGACTGTGCCTGGCCTGGGCAGCAGGTGCTGGCTGGCGGTTGGAAGAGAAGGCACTGCAAGGCTCTTCACGGAAATAATTCCACATCCGGCCCGGGTGGGTCTGGAAGCCAAGGGAGGAGGCCAAAGGACACCCACATTTCTGTAAGGTCTTGAGCTTTGCGTGAGCTACTACCCGCACCCCAACATTTCAAGGAAGGCATGTCTGTTTATCCTGGGGTTTCCCACCCCAGCTGCCTCCAAACCCACCCCAAATGTGAGAACTTCAGGCAGGTGGTCTCCAGAAGTCTGGGATTCTGTCGTTTATTGTGTGCGCAGGGTACAATGCCAGGACCCTCCCATGCCCTTCTCCCCCCCGAACTGTCCCCTAAGGACCCCAGAATGGCAGGCGAGAGGCCACCCTACCCTGTGACACACCCTCCCCTTACCCCTGGTTTTGTATGTGGAAACGGAGCCAGGATCATGGCGGGCAGCTGAGGCTCCCCAAGATGAAGGCTGCCTGAGCCCCTCCCTGGCCTGGGGAACAGGAGGGAACTGGCTGGGGGCTTTCTCCAGCAGAAAGATGTGGGGACAGAGGCAAAGGCCGAGAGAGGCAGACGGGGGAACTACTTCCTGGTACCCAGAGGGGGGCGCTTTGAGAGGAGCCTCGGACTTCCTGGGTTTATGTTCGTGAGCAAGTTGGGCAGCCACCTGCTCAGAGACTCAGCTTCCCCCCTGATAAATATGGAGATTGGATCTGACTTTAGAATGTTCTGAATTTGGACTCAACCAATGGTAATGCTTAGGATTTGAAGGACGGCAGGTGTGTGTCCCCGAGCGGTATACACACACCAAACCTATAGATTCATAGATTGAAGAGGGGGAAGGACCGGCCATGGCAAAGGTTGGCCAGACACTGGTCTGACCTTGAGACCCAAAGCCCCACCCATGGTCTCTCTCCCACATGGGGTCGGTGATCCATCTGCATGGAGGCAGCCCCAGGAGCCCCGGCCTGGGGGCAGGGGGAGGACCAGCTGCACCCCTCAGCCTGGCCTGGCCTGGCCTGGCCTGGGGGCATGAGCAGGTAACAGATGGCAGGAGTTTCACACCGTTTGTCACGAACCAGCTGTATTGGAAAAACCCCATCTGTATACAAATGCCCTGGCACAGCTGGCTGGCTGGGCGCTCCAGGTGGGCAGGCAGCTGGTTTGGGCTTAGAGAGTGGAAAGGGGAGGTTTCCATCATGTCTGTCTCCTGGCCTCCCTGTGCCCCCAGGGACCTGCCTCTCCTGCTCCTCTTGCCAAGGGGGTCCCAGTGCCCTTCCCCGCCCCTGCCTGGCAGAGCCTCCGCAGGGCAGCGGAGCTGCTGTCCGTCTGTCCTGCAGATTATTTGGCCAGAGACCCTGCCTCTCCTCAGCTTCCTTCCCAAGTGGGCTCTCTGGATCTTCCTTCCCCATCCCGATCCCTTCGTTCTGCACTAAGTGAGAGGCCACATCTGGAAGGCAAGGGGGCCCCTGGCCTGTCCTGGGCAGAGCAGAAGGCCTCCGTTTTGGGGTGGGGTGACCCACCTGGGGTCTTGGGGGTGTCAGGGCTGGGACCCGGGCTGAGATGTCCTGGCAGCTGTTATGAGGGGTTAGGAAAAGTCTGGCAGGCCAGTGGCG